AACACTGAAAAAGATGTATCTTTGGAACATAACTTTATGATTTTCAAAGACAAGAATTTATAAAGAACATATTCCTTAAAATTTTCCTTAAATTATTTTTTTATCTCATTGACAAGTTGACATAAAGTATAATTGGATGTTTGCTACATTAAGTAATCAGTGAGTCTGATGATTTTGTATTAATCTTTTGTTTTCTTGAGAAATATTGAAGTATAAAGAAATGACAACAAGAATCAAAAACACCAAAATTTGGGAGGGGCAGCTGGAAAGGGTTTTGTGTACCTCATAATATGCAGAACTAAAATTATGTGGCCTGGGTCTCTAAAAACTGCAATGGATTATTTGTCAAATTTGCTATAAACAGAACGGAATGATCAATTTTGAAACTACTTATTATTCAGCGTTCACACAGCTGTGTCATTTCCTGTTGGCTACAGAGTGAGGGCTAAGTCCACACAGCAGCAGTAAATCATATTAGCAGTCAGCATTAATGAGGAAAAACAAGACCAAATACTTCAACCCAGACCACAGCATTCTTACCACACAGCTTAGAAAACTTGCTGCAATGTCTTTGATCGGCCAAACTGGGGTGATTTTAAGGGAAGATTTTTAAAAGATTCTCTTCCAAGAAAACAAATTCTTTCCAAATAAGTTAAATCCATGCAATTTTATGAAACTTCTTTATTCAATTCCTCTTTCTCAAAAAACACACAAATTGCCTCCTACTTTGTTTATGTTATGTAACTGCATGATCACTCTCTTGACTAACCCCCTCCACAGAGAGACAACTGTGAAATTGCCACCTTTTAGTACAGAGCGGTTCACAAGTTCATACTCTTACCCTTAATCTTACATTGAATTTCATGTTTGAAACTATTTAATATCCATGGTCTTATTAAATTCTCAAAGACAGGGCCCATGACTCATGCCTCTATTTTCTAACATGACATCTACGAAGGCATCCTGCTGGGTTTTGTGTTAGGTCAGTTATCTCCCTGCTCCGTCGATGGTGCCTAGGAGACCGGAGACCTGTGTTTTCTCCTTGTTGCCCTTATTCCTTAAACACTTCCGCTGAAGTCTGAAGAGAGGCAGGCAACCATGAATAAACAATCACGCCTTACAGTATTCTACTGCCAGCCAAGGTCCATACATACACTGCACAACTTGGAAAGGGAGGTGTCTGTGATGTGTTTCCAAAGAAGAATGTTGGGAAGTATAGGGCATGTGATTTTCTAAACAGATCTATTGTGCAACTTAAAGGAGTCAGATGTTATCAATCTCACAAAGGATGAGACTAAGGAAAAGAATTCAGTCAGTGTTTGTCCAAGGTCACCGTTGCATTAGTTTAGCCTGGACTAAAAGCTCCCTGACTGGTAGTCTAGCGCTTATAGAAATTACAGAGCTATTGTTTATCAGTCTTGTACCATCCCTGGATAGGGACTTTCTAGCCCTCTCTTCAGGCCTAGAATCAGCCCTTTTTGTGTCAAAGGAGATGAAATTTCTATGGGGGGGAGAGGAACTCACCTAATACACAAAGGGTTAAGCACAAAGAAAATAATTTCTAAGCTCAAACCTTTTCAGGCAACTGAATATGTTTTATTAACTAAATCATATAGAAATATTTGCTATTTGTCTTTTGTTCTCTTGATCTTAGGGGTAAATGAGAGAAAGGGAAGAGTAATAGGAAGACAAAGAAAGACGACCAAGAAGAATAACAAAAGGAGGGACATGAAGTGATATACAATCTCCCACATGAGGTTTCCCATTTTCACAATCAAGGTATTTGTCAGAAGAAAACTTTTCATTGCCGTCTACGAATCGAGTCTTTTCCAGAGCTTTAGTTATACTTGGATTCCATATTCTCCTTGAAGACCCGCAGTTTCATCATGGTTTCACAGTGAGTGAGTGACGGGTGCAGAACTAGAACTGGAGCATTCATTCATTCATTCATTCATTCACATGATCACACTGCTACCCTGCTCCAAGCCCTCTGAGACTGACTTTGCACTTCTCCGAGAATGAAATCCAAATGTTACGGCTTATTATACAGTCCCTGCCTGCTTCCTTCTGCTCTCCCACCTATGTTCTCCCTCCTTCCATGGCCATGGTCACTCCAGCCTTCCTTCTGTTTCTCAAACCTGCCAAGTTCTTTGCCCTCACATAGCCTTTCCACTGTCCATCCCCTTCCTGGAGAGTCCTTCTGCTGGGCTTCCTCATGGCTGATTAGTTCTTATTACGAAAGACTCAACCTCCCTTTAGAGAGGCCCTGCCAGGCCCCTGCCAACGCCCCACCTCCCAAGCTTTAGCAGGCCCTGCTGCTTTCTCTTCATGGAGCTCAGCACGTTCCTTCTTTTTTATGTACTTGCTTCCTTATTCATTGTCTTATCTCCTGTTGGAATGTATGTTCTGTGAGAGCAGCAGGCAGGTCTGGTTTGTTTATTGCTCTATCTTAAATTCCTAGTACAATGCCTGGATTAGAGCAGGTGCTTAACAAATACTTGTTAGATGAATCAAAAAATATATTAAAATCTACCATATACAGAGTGCTGAGATTCAAAAAAGCAAAAGAGAGAATTTTTACCCTAGAGGTACTTCAAACTTGGCAACTTCAGGCGGTTGGTTTTTCTATTCCATTATACATCCATTAAATTTCACTCAGCAACCAGCAGATTCCTGGAGATCCAGGTCACCTGATTTCCAAAAATAGTCATCACTGTGATTCCAGATTATTTCCTGGTGAAGTGATTATCCTTCTGACTTAGCCTGGGAAAGACCCTTTTTGTCCTTTTTGTCCAGCCATAATCATTGATAGCATCCCTGATTGCTCTCAAAAGTATTTCAGCTTAGATAAACCCCAGTTACCTTCTTCACTGATCAGCCAATTTATAAACACTCATAATTACTGAGCTACATCAATATATCTCACCAGAGATATGGTGGAAGGTCAAGTCATATCTCTAGAAAAGGGTAACTTCATAAATTAAAAACATGATAAAAGACAGGATAGACACAGTTTCAAATAGTGAATCCACTAATGAAAGCAGCATTTCCCAAGATATGTTCACTAGTCCTGAGAAGTGCCAATAACATTTACATCTGAAATACAACATAGGTCAAGGGCTCTTTATTGTGCCAGAAACTATTATATAAAATTTACTTGTATTTCCTCTGAGTTACTGGCATGATTCCTATTGTAAAGATGATTAAGTTGAGGTTCAGAGAGGTTAAATAATTCATCCAAGTTCACATAGCTAGGAAATGTGAAGTTTGGGATACCAAATACACCTCTCTGTGATCTCCTCCTCCAACTACTAAGTCCACGCCTTCTTAAACAAGTAATCAGAAAGTAAATAATTGGATGAAAGTTTCCTGTGCTGAAGGAGGTTTCGGAAATGCTAGGTTAAATTATGTTAGGTAGGCTACTTTCCTACAGGACTTTTTAGTATCTGTAACATATCAAAGTCCTTGGCAGATCTTCAAGGGGTGATGTGGGCAGTGTCTCCCTCAGTAATCGGAACATGGCACTCTTTGTGTGAGTACTAAAGCTCCGAAGAACAAACTTTGGCAAATGCTGCTGTAGGAACTTCAGCAAGGCCAGCTACCCGCTTCTCTGCTGGGTCAGCCTTCCACCTGTGTAAACACAGACCCACACATCATCTGAGTCAGGGTTCTCCTCTGGGGGGCTCCAGTTCTCAAAAAAATAGACCGTCCATGGATCCCTGGGCATCACTGGTCCCCTACTTACCTCAGTGCTTTTAACCATTCTTCATAATACCTTTTCACCCCTCGTACTGAACTTTCTGGGTTTTTTTTTTTTCTTTTTCCCACTTCACCTTCTTCTCATTTCCAAGCCCAGAAATCTCCACAGGGGGACTTGTAAGTTGACTTTGGCCAATATCCTTACTACCATTTAATAAGTGAAACCTTCTCACTATTTGGAGTATGGGAGATGAAGATGAGAAAAAAGATCTCTCATGACAAAACAAAAGAGCAAAGCGTGCGCTATTTCTAGTCCTCTCTAAGACTCTTGCTGGGGGAAAGAGGAGGGCTGGGGGGTGGATATGGAGGAGGAGTGAGGAGAGGGTAGAGGGTTATACATGCATTTTCAGCTAAGGAAAATGCCTGCTGAGTCCAGCTTGGGGTGCTCTATTCCCGGGTGGTAGAGGCTAAAGAGAAATGAATTAAAGGGCAGTGTCAGAATCCCCTCCCCTACTAGTGTCCTTATTGCAAGGGAGTGGGACATGCAACTGGGCTGACATGTGTTTGGGGTCCCTAGCATAATGGGTTGAGTATCCAATGGCCTTTTTCACTTAGTTATAAGAATTTTCCACTTCTCTTTCTTCTCTCTTCCTACATCTTCTACCAGCGGTTCTCAACCTGTGGGTCGTGACCCACAGGAACTGTATTAAAGGGCCGCAGGATTAGTAAGGTTGAGAACCACTGCCGGGTCAACCCACTCCTCAAAACCTTTCTGTCTCTTCCTAAATGACTGAAAGTGACAGGTTTCAGATGCCGGTCTATTACTATGACCCCAGCACGCCAGTTCTTGCATCTGGAATGAGCTAGCTTAGCCATTGTTCCATGGCCTGTATACCTGATGCAAACCTTTTTTTTTTTTTCTTTTCCATACAAGCACTTAACTCTTCCCCAACCAAGATTTACGTCCGATGTTTTACAACTGTGTTTTCACTTGGATGGAAAAAAAATTTTTTTCAGAAATGTTCATGCAGCCTCTGTAAGCCCCTACTGAAACAGTTTTAAAGGAATTGTGATTTAAATTATGCATAGGCGTCAGTTTGCCACCTCCCGCTGGACTTGTGCAGAGCCATCCCTCAGCCAAGCATCTGCGGGGGCTTTCTGTTGTTCCAGAGCGCTGGTCTGAAATAGATCCCGCACGGGCACCCTAGAGGGCGCACTGCTTACATTTTCCGCAAGCTGCGACACAGCACCCGCTCCCAGGCTCCATAAAAGGGGAGGAGGCAGATCAGTTTACTTCTCTCATTGAGAAAGAAGAGGATTGGAAGGCCGGGCGTATAAAGCCGCGCAGAGAGCGTGAAACAAAGCAGTCGGAAAGGAATTGGACTTGGGAGGCGCGGTGTGGAGTCAGGCATAAAACTTGTTGGAGGGGAGTAAGGAGCTTGTTCCTCGCGCTCTCTCCTCTGCCTCTGCGCTTCACGGGGTTCCCACCAGCCTTGCTATCTATTTTTATACCTGCTTTTTATATAGAGAGAAATATATATATACATATATTTTCTTCTTAAGAGAAAATTCCTGTTCCAAGAGAAAATAAGGCAACATCAATGAAGGAGAGAAGAGCCAGCCAGAAATTATCCAGTAAATCTATCATGGATCCTAATCAGAATGTGAAATGCAAGATAGTAGTGGTGGGGGACAGTCAGTGTGGCAAAACCGCACTGCTGCACGTCTTCGCCAAGGACTGCTTCCCCGAGGTGAGTGCGGCCGGCCCATGGGATCCCCCATCTTGACGTGGTCTTCTTGCTTCTCTCCCTTCACCCTGATTTTCCTCTTGAAAGGCGTCTTTCTCACCGCTTCGACTTTGCCGGGGTTAGACTGCTTGGAAAGGGAAAGTGCGCTGGGAGCGTGAGGGGCTGGGTCGCACCTGCACGTCGGGCTGGTAGAGCCTGAAACTTGTTGGTCCCGGTGTGCAGAACTCGGCTTGGGAGATTCGGGTCAGCCGGTCTCTGAGCCGGCTGCGGTGTGGAGAGGGGGTCAGACAGAGGTTTCAAAAAAGGACCCGGGTTAGCGTGTGGTCTAAATACGTACGGGTTTTCTTTTTTAATTGGGGAGCGGGGTGGAGATTTTGTGAGGGTGTTCAGTGAGGGTCGTGCATTTTAAGATAACCTCTTTGCCCTCTTTGCTTCCTTTTCTGTCCATTTTGTTTGTCCAGAATTACGTTCCTACAGTGTTTGAGAATTACACGGCCAGTTTTGAAATCGACACACAAAGAATAGAGTTGAGCCTGTGGGACACTTCGGGTAAGAGTGGTCGGACCGCGTGGCGCTTGGGGAGGGATTCCAGCCGCTGGGGGGTGCGCGGTGGACTCTGGAATTAGCGCGCCACTAGCCCCCTGCACCCCTCTATTAACTTCGCCCCCTGCGGGGGATTCCCACGGTCTCTGCTGGGTGAAAATGTTACCCTTGTGGGTGGGGGTGGGGGACGACAGTGTGAACCGGAAGATGGCAATGGGGAGAGGAGGGCGCTGTGTGCCCGCGAGGTGACCTCGCGGTTCGAGCCTCTTGTGGCTAGGTCTGTCTCCCGGGCTGTGCTCTAATCGCCTCGGGGCGACCAAGGTGGCCCGATTCTGAGGCAGGGGAGGTGAGTGCGCCTCGGTGAAACCACCCGCCTGGCGGCGAGCGCCCCTCCGGGATCCAACCTTGTGTTTGGCTGGGAGGGTGGGAGCGCAGTGGGGGAGGTGGGAGGCGGGAGAAAATCCCCAAAGATCCCGGTTACATGCGGATTCCTCGCTCTGGGGAGAGTAACTGGTCTCAGACAGCCGCGGCGCCCGTGACGCCTGCTGCCAGGAATGCGCTGGCGGCGCGGGCAGTGTAGGGGCCGGGCAACCTCTGGGCCTCTTCTGTGCGCTGCCAGCTGCCCGCGGCGCCTCGGTACCCATCTGCACCGAGGCTTCTCCTCGCCCCTGCAGTGATCGCGGTGTTCCCCCGACCACGCCAATCCCTTCTGACCCCTATTACATCCCTCTCCGCCTGCCTGCATGGCTGCGGGCAGCGCTGTTCGCCTTTGACCTTCCCGTCTACTTGAATTATTGGCGCTGCGGTGGGTTATTATCAAGAGTCTGCGGTTCAAGGCCGGGTTATTGCCTTCCCATGAGCCCACCCACTACCTAGCGCGCCGTAGTTGGGAGAGCTAGGTATCCTGCGGGCGGGAAGGCATCCAGCCCCCAGCTTAGTTAGGGGGGTTAGGGTGGGTTAAAGACAGTGGGGGCGGGGGCACCATTTAAGATCTCCGGCTGGGACCCAAGCACCCGCCGCCCTGGCCAGCGGTGCCTGGCAGAGTGCTATTTCCAGGAAGGGTGTAGCCTCTGGAGGAGCAGGAACCACCAGGAAGGCGGGTAAAGGCCCCTGTGCTTAGGGCTGGGAGTTTAGCAGGGAGCAAGGTTGCTGGTGGACCGAGCCAAATCCTGGGTGAAACTCTGAGGAGGAACACACAAGTGCCAACACGCAGGTTTTGCTGTCAGGCGGAGGGCCTGCGAGGTGGAGCCTCGCTCAGCTGGGAGTGGCCTCGTGAAGGTGCTTCTGTGAGCTTCTTACTACCCTAGGCTTGAACCTCTGGAGCCCCCAGGGATGCGGGGGATCTGAGAGCCTGGGGAAGGAACCAGACTGACACGGGCGCCGGAGGCAGTCCTTGCACAAAGACAAGCGAGCAGTCTCGCACGAGCGCCTCTTTCGGTCGGTGTCAGATGTTCCTACTGCGGCAGTGAGAAGGGCAGATTTTGTTTCCCACCGGAGAGTCAGGCATTCCCCCAGCTGCCCCAAGGGCAGCAGAATCAAGACCTCGCCCTGGCGGTGTTCTGTGTTGGGGATTGCAGGCGCTGTCTGGAAACTGTAGAGAAAGTGGTTGTAGACAGAATTCAAATGGTGCCTTATTTCAGTAGTTCCTTTCATCAGAATTATCGCACAGCCTAGGTACTTCCTGGGCTCTAATTCTCAGCAATATTACGGTAGGTATTTGTTATGGCTAGCTGTACCAGTAATAAACACCAATACTTACCCTCCGCTCTGCCCCCTCCTAGTTTGGACCTGATGCATGATGAAAAGTATTTGGGCATGGGGTGGGGCAAGAGGTTTGATCCACTCGTTAATACAGAACTGTGTTTAGATCGTAGCTCCTGGTTACCACGGATTGCTGTGTGCAAATCCCTTACCTCCCTGGGGCTCATTTTCATCATCTGTAAAAGAGGACACTGAGCTAGATAATGTGCAGGACCTCTCCCAGCTGTGTCCTTCTTGGCTTTAGTACACCGGGCAGGCAGGTCTTTTTGTTTCCCAGGATGTTGGTTGGCTTCAGCTGTTAGTCCCAGGGGATCTGGCATCCCATGCTGGGAGTTTCACAACCTAGAAGCAAGCCAGACTCTGGGCAGAGCCAAGCTTCCCGGTGGATTTAGGAATGAGATTCATTTGGCTGGAGCGGTGGGGGAGGGGCGGGAGGGAGGTGTAGGGGAGAATGGATGGGCTTATAGGAATGTTGGGGTATACAGTCACTGCCTCAAGCTTCAAGAGTCACAGGACCACCAAGGGAGATTTTAGATTAGGCTAAATTGACTTTTTTAGGAAAGAAAAGGCATATTGTTTCCCAGGGTTTCCTTTGTTTTCTAAAGCTTAGAAAGTAAAACAAACAAAATGTGGGCAGTATATCGTTGCAGGCTGTCCTTCCAATGTGCAGATAAATATCACTTCACTGTATTTTCATGTATTTCATCAAAACTCTACAGTTCAGTATCTGCACACAGTAGTCACCCAATAAAATCCAGTGAATGAACAAATGAGTAATGATATGCATAGTTTCCAAGGAGATAAGGTTCCCTGACATTTATTAGCACTGAATTACCTGTGCACAAAGAATGGCAATCTATAAACATTGCCTTTCATCCAGTTAAAGATAATCATCTGAAATGAAGTTTGTAGCGAAATAATCACTTGTGTTTTTATGTAATGAAGCAAAAACCCATGCATGCTTAACTGAAATACATATAAAGGTTTAAAAACTGTGATTAGGAAAATTTCATACTGCAAAATTATGCAGTAATGAAATCTTAGTTAGAATTTAGGTTTATACAAATGGAAAAAGAGGCATGAGAGAATTATTTAGGATTCCATTATATTGTTCATGAGGTGAAATGTTAGTTAATTAAACACAGTCACCAAGCACTGCTTAAATTCTAATAGCCTGTTTTCAGCAAAGGTTATTTGTCATGAGTAAAATACAACTAGCAGGAACCATTCCCTCGGCAACTGATGATGTCAAGTATCTTGAACATTTTCCCATTTCATTCCAAGCTTTTCATGGCAAACTTATGAACAAGATTATTTTCTGATAAATGTTTGACATTTTCTTTGCCCACTAAGACATTTGTTTAGTTCAGGTTGTGAAAATAACTGCATATGCTTTATGCCTCTTGATACATTTATTTCCCCCCCCCCCAAGGGCTATCGGTTTAACTCTTGAGAGAAGATCCAAGCCAAGCCTGTGAAGTCCTAAATATCAGATGATTTTTTTTCCCCTTAGAACTTTGTGAAAGAGATTTATATAGGGAAAGTTGAGTGTGCCTAACTTCTCTTACACAGGGAGAGAGATGGCATAAACATTGTCCTTTGAATGGTATTTCCTGGAACGCTCCCAGCAGTGGGGCAGGTATTTCAGAGACAGAAACAGTTCCTCTCTTATGTGGCCTCTTTACTTGGATGGCTTCTCATAAGGGGTCTGCTTTTCCTCCCATCAGTTCAATGCTCATTTCTGGACAAAACTCTGCCAATTTGGATGTGGGGAGGAACATTAAATGGTGAAAGTGGGGTATGTGGGAATCTCTTTCCACCCTTTGAGGTACAGTGACTTAACATTTTTCTTTCTCCCTCCTTCTCTTTCTTCCTTCCTTCTCCATCCACCATAAGTAGGCCCTCTGTTAGACCTTGAAGATGCAGTGTTAATTAAAAGATGGTCCTGCCCCTAAAAAGGATGAAGTTTGGGTGGGGCAGGGAGGAAAAAGAAGCTCCTCCCATCTAGTGTTCTTTGCCAACTCATGATGAACACTGTTTTGTCACGCTCTTGAACCCAAGTGCCCTGTTACATCCAGTTGAAATGTATTTCCCTTGTCATGGATGGTTAGATACTCTGGAGGTAAGAAACAGCTCCCTCATGGCTCCCTCCACCCCATTCATTATATGCACCAGTTAAAGCAACCCCAAATGGTACTTTGCCAGTTGACTCTTAGGGCTAAAGTAGTCAGCCCCTAAAAGTAAGCAAAACCTTTTTTAAAATGCCATGTGAATTGTCTACAAGAGGGGATTTTTAAAGGCAGTCTTCACATACAGGTGCATAATTTCTTCACTGTACTGAGAAGTATTCCCTCCCTTTTTATTATGAAATGAGCATTTTTACTAATAGTTACAGAAAAATGGTCCTTATCCTTTTCCAGTTCACTCAAGTTTTCTGCAAAACAGTGTGCAATGGTTTCAACATTTTAAAGTGATACATGAGACCAAAGTAATTCTAATATCTTGTGCTTCAAAATCTGCCACATTTGCCAAGCCTAGAAGCAATTTGTAGCATGAAGCCAAATGCCTCCTAAGAATAGAAACTTAGTCATTTAAGGATCACCAAATCTTTTCCTAAGAGATTTGATTGCTGTGTAATTTTAGCACGTGATTTAGGGAGTAATAATCATTCATGCCAGCTTTTAACCAAGGCAAGCTAATGCATATTTTATTTAAAGCATATTATTACTTTAAAAAAATTTAGTCCAGCTGCTAAAATTCCCCACAATAACTATACTATTGTTTCGAGAACACTCTTTTGAATCTTGTCATAATACAAGCTTCTTTTAAGCCCTGAATGTTAAAGTTAGCGCTTCCTCTATAAGTTTTTAACATTAGTAACAGAGAATGTGGTATATTATACTTAAGAGGGAGGAAAGAAAAATATTAATTACCTCATGGTCTTCCTTAAAGAACAAACTTCTTTATAAACAGAAATCTATTCAAAGGGTTATGTTTATAGCTTATATGTCAAGTTTGAAGAATGGTCTTGGTGACAAGCACTCTAATGAAATATGTCTTAATAGGGATGGAAAGGGTTCAGCAGCATTGGAGATTAGTATATAATTAATCCAGAAAAGCAGCTTAAAAAGAGATCACTGGTCCCTTTTTTCCTTTCTTTTTTTTTTTTTATTATTTTATGTGTGTGTGTGTATAATTTAACACATCTACACAAGTCATACAGGAATGATTATAAGACCAGTAAA